GTGGATATGATATCAAATAATCTGCAAATTTAAGATTTTGGGTTATAGTATTTCGAAGTCGCTATAAACAAGAAATTTGTACACCGGATGAATATAAATTTTATTACAACACGGTATTTCAAATATTTGTAAGATTTTTATCGATATTGAAGGAGTTATTTGAGTTGGTAGTTAAAATCCTTGGATAAGTTGATTACTTGAGCCAACAGACTGCAGTTTGGTTGAGTAACAATATGAGAGGGGACACGTAATGTAAACTCAAAAAAAAAAATTTCATGCATGATCATGAGTCCAACTATATATATATATATATAAAGAGAGAGAGAGAGAGAGAGAGAGAGAGAGAGAGAGAGAGAGATTTTTAAAACAGATTCTTTTAGACCTCAGTTACGTCCAAATGCATCACAATCTAATGGATTTGTATTCTTCAACCGGAGGACCAGGGAAAAAAAGAAAGCAAATTTCAGATTCCCAGATTTTTTTTTTTTGTGTGGGCAAATTTGAATACGTTTTGAGTCTAGAAAATGCCAATGCTAAAGTTTTACTGATTTTGCGTCATCATTTTTCACCGTGCCAAACTTGGTGATGCAAATATCAATTTGTCAATACAAAAAGTATTTTGGTTGGCAAATTGATCTTAAAAAAATGTAAAAATATAAATTCTTGGAATACCTTGTCTCGTGAGAATGCAAACAATTCGACCAATTGGACAACAGACAAAGGGGAGAAGCTAATGGCCACCCACTAGGGATAACAGTAGACCGGATAAAAATAGGTATTCGTCCAAGGATAATTCGAGGGCGGAAGTCTTGTGCCCTAGGATAATTCGAGGGCTCTGAGACAGCTTTAATTTATGGTACTAATAAAAGGAAGTTAAGTGAAAATTTTTTAATTACTTATTATGTCCCTATAAAAAATATTAAAGTCATATGTATTCTTATTTATTTTATTTAATCACTTAATATTAATTATATATTCAAGTGACTTTTCATATATTTCCATTTTTACAAGAATTATTATTTCATGTATTGCACTTTTTTTTTTTTTAATTACCTAATATTAATTATATATTCAAATGACTCTTTGTATATTTTTATTTTCATAATAATTATTGTTCCATGCATTATACTTTTTATTTTATTTTATGAGTTAATGACGTTAGCTCTCTTTCATTTACTTCTCATAAATTTTTTTGTTTACAATAAATCCATTAATCATCTTTACTTTATGAAAAATAATAGATTATCATTAATACAACTATTATGCCATCGACAACCATCATAAAAATTATTTTATTATTTATCTAATATGAACTAATGTGTAGATTTGCAGACGATACAAATTCTTGGCAATAAATACATTAATTAATCAAATGTAATTCGAATAATTTCATCTTCCATTTTATGGCTGCGTGGATAGGTAATAGTCAAATATTCAATCTCATGAATTTCAATCATAAATTACTAGTAATACTATTCTATTCCTCTCTCATTCTCTCATACTCACGTTTTTTATTTGCTTGCAAGTTATTGCTCTTTTCATATGATTTATGTTTTTCTTGGAGTTAGGGTTGTACTAACATCTTGAAAATTTTCTTTTTGATTTGTTAAGTGTTTTTTATTTATGAACAAGCATTATCAATGGTGGAAGATCACCGTGAAAATGGAACCTTGAGATTTATTTACTCAAAATTATATATCTTCTATGTGTTTAATTTCCGTGGTAAAAGTTCATTTTTTGTTTAACACTAAAACTCATTTTACGTATTTAGTATTATATCTCATGTGTAGAAAAAATTACGTAATTCATCTCATGCATTGAATAATTGAAAAGTTTGACTAGGTTTTTTGAATTGCTCTAGGACATAAGGTACTAAATACTAATTTTTGATAATATACATTTTACCATTTGAATATTGTAAAACAAAATTATACTATGTTCATTATAGATTTTTGTGGGTAATTTTTTTTCTAGGATGTTCATGAAGCATATATGAAATTTCTTTTGAAATGTAATTTAATATTTGTCTTTCAGTAAATAATGAAGCAATTAATGTTCACCAATTATATATTTTTGTCATCGAAAATATGATAGTGAATTTTGAGATTGACCGTCCCAAACTTATCATAATATAAACATCATTTTATTTGTTATCCTTTTAGAAACGACGGAAATTAAATTTAGAGTAGTAAACTATTGAAACTCTAATATTACACGTTAATATATGCCTAAATTTGTCCATGACTTAAGTTGCATTAGATACTACACAAAATTTTTAAGCAAAGTTTATTTGTACAGTTGATGATATTTCATAAGTTTTATAGCAATAATATATTTGATATTAAAAATGATTCATGTGTAATGCACTTGTATACCAAAAAAAAAATATATATATATAAATTTACATATCTATATCTATCTATCTATACTATTAATAAAAGTACTCTAATATAAAAAAATTTTGATTCATTATTTTATTCTTATAAAGAATTTTAAATACCACATTATCTTTCCATAGTTAAATAACTAAATCACCATCATATTCTTAGTGTTTAAACCTTTAAATTACCCTTACCATCCCTTTTAATTTTTTATTCTTTATGTATAAATATCAATCTATGAAATTTTTTAATTGACTATGTTACCCTTAAAAATAAGCATTGATTAGAATAATGACAATTATTTTTATTTTATTCAATGAATTTTAAATTGAAACCTAATCAAATGTATTTCAAAATGAATTATTTTTATCTTTTTTTTTTTTTTATAATTAGAACAATGAATCGTTGGAAAGGAACAACATTTTTTAAATTTTATAGTATAAGACGAACTATAAAAACATAACTTTTATAAACTAGAGATGATTTTTAATTTAGATACACATATAACTAAAACTTATTATTAAATTATATATATGAAAATTATTCACGTTCAACACACGTTGTGTATTGCTAGTTCAACAAAATAGAACCATTACTTGAATTAATCATTGTTATTGAATTAACAATTAGAATCAATATTAATAAAAATCTACTATCAATTTAATAGTTGTGATCATTTTTTTTAGTTCAACGGTCAGGGGTGTTTGGATCAGCTTACGAGTAACTCGACTAATCCCCTCCCTAGGCCAATCAAAGGCAGACTATTCAAGTCAAAACCATTCATGAGAGACAAATTTCACATAGCTTGACCTCACAAAATTGTTAAGATTTAAATTCATTATGTCTATTGTGATCATTAAATTAATAAACTAGATTAAAATGGTATTGATTAACGTACTAACTTGGAAAAAAGGGGTGACCCCTCACCAACATCAAAATTTTTCCTGGTGCAAGACTTGGATTTCTGGATTGATTCATCCAAAAAAGCCATCAATCCAAAAATCCAAGTCTTCGCAAGTCTTGCACTGCAGAAAGGCAAGAAAAAAAGGGCGTAAGAAACCGTTGCTTGTGGGATAATATTATATTCAAAAGTGGGGTCCTTTAATTAATGCTATTGTAGCAATTTCCAACCGTCCAAACCACTGGGTAAGTGGAGAATAGAAAAACAAGATAGACACAGACACAGAGAAACTTGGATTGTTGCAGAAAATTGACCAAACATTTCAGTGATTTCACAATCAAAAACTTAAATTTTGATGGAACAATCAAACAGGTCAAAAGATACTTCTGTCATGGGTAAATATGTTACTTCTTCACTTAACATCAACTCATTTGGTGTATATGATACCAAATAATCTACAAATTTAAAATAATTTTGGGTTATAATATTAGAAACACGCTATAGACAAGAAATTTGTACACCGAATGAATATAAATTTTAATACAATGCGATATTTGTAGGATTTATATCAAAATTATTTGAGATGAGAATTAAAATTCTTGGATAAATTGATTGATTGGGGTGGGGTCAATGGACTGCAATTTGATTGAGTAACAGTATGAGAGATATTTATGTTCGAGGGGACCTAAATTTCTAATAGAATGTAAACTCAAAAAACAATTTTTTTCATTCAACTCGACAAATTTTTTCATGTATGATCATGAATCCAACTACATGAGTCATTAATAAGTTATTTTCTTTACTGTCTATGGTGTACACAACAATGGATTAATCACTTCACACACACACACACATACATATATATGTATAGAGAGAGATATTTATGACAAATTCTTTTAGACCTCAGTTACTTCCAAATGCATCCCAATCTGATGGACTTGTATGCTTCAGCTGGAGAACCAGAGAAAAACAAAATAGTAAATTTCAGATTCCCAGTTTTTTTTTGGTGTGTGTGTGGGCAAATTTGCATCCATTTGTGCCCAATGCAAATGATTTTTGCGTCAGGAAAATGCCGATGCAAAAGTTTTTCACTGCACCAAGCTTGCCGATTTTGTAATCATTTTTCACTGCGCAAAACTTGTTGATGCAAAGATCAATTTGTCAATACAAAAAATATTTGGATTGGCAAATCAGTCTTAAAAAAAATGTAATTTCTTTCATTGAATTAAAATCCTTGGAATACCTTTTTTCATGGGAATGAGAAAATTCGACCAATTGGACTTCACGCAAGGGGGAAAAGCTAATAGCCTCCCACAACACATCATTTTAGGATGGCGAACCATAATATCGGTCACTTGATTAAAAACATCATTTAGCAATTAAGCCTGGAGATTCTATACTTTTAGACATCTAATCGAAATACATTTAATAAGAATAAAAAAATCAACAAAATTTAACCAAAATATTATTTGAAATCTTGGATGGCCATTCCATTAAGGATTGAAAATGTTAAAAACTTTTCTATGGAAGAGATAAATTTGGGTTGATTTACCCTTCACAATTCTCCAATCAAACACCACAAATGGCTGCCAAACTCCAGTGAAAGCAAGTCCACTCCCAAGTCTTTTGCAAGCCCATATCCCAAAATACATTGTAGTAAGCACAACGTAGTTGAAGAGTCAAGATCACAATAGATGAATTATAAGCACGTAATAAACATGTTGTTTTCTTCTAGATGGTCATTCAATCACAAAATTTTCCAACAGTTTTAGAGGCCCATGCATCACACAGATGACAAAACACTCTATAAATACCAGTCTCCCAAAAGCAAACTACAAAACAAACCCTTGGTTTCATATTCTGTGGTGGTTGGTCTAGCAACTCACATACATTATCACTCTCTAGTTCTTCAATCTTAATGGGGAACAAGAGGTCTGGCTTACTGTTCCCAAATATGGCTTTCATGTTCATTCTCACTCTCTTTTCCATTTTGAGTTGCAATTCGTTGGTAGCATCGGGGAGCAATATCGTGGAGGAGCAGAGCAATGTAGAAACTTACATTGTCCATTTGGAGAAGCCCGATGACCGAGTTTTCACTCAATCAGATGATTTAGAAAGCTGGTATCAATCATTTTTGCCGGTAACCACTGCAAATTCGAATGAAGCACCGCGCATAATATATGCATACCGCAATGTGGTTACTGGTTTTGCTGCCAAATTGTCTGCTGCGGATGTCAAAGCCATGGAAAAGAAGGATGGCTTTGTGACTGCCAGGCCTCAGAAAGTACTGTCTTTACATACAACTCACAGTCCTAAATTCTTGGGATTGCAACAAAATCTAGGTTTTTGGAGTGGCTCAAATTATGGTAAAGGTGTGATTATTGGAGTTATAGACTCTGGAGTTTTGCCAGACCACCCTTCGTTTGGCGACGGAGGAATGCCACCTCCACCTGCTAAATGGAAGGGGAAATGTGAACTCAATAGCACTTATGCTTGTAATAACAAGCTCATCGGTGTAAAGCGTTTTATCAGTGATCCAGATGAGACTGAGGTGGACGAAGATGGGCATGGCACTCACACAGCAAGCACTGCCGCCGGAAACTTTGTGAAAGGGGCCAATGTGTTTGGCAATGCCAATGGCACTGCAGTTGGCGTAGCACCACTTGCTCACTTGGCCATTTACAAGGTATGTTCATTTGGTTGTTCTGATAGTGACATATTGGCTGGAATGGACGCTGCTATTGAGGATGGTGTTGATGTGCTTTCCATCTCCCTTGGTGGATTTTCCAGTCCTTTCTCCTCAGACAGTGTTATCGTTGGTGCATTTACTGCAATGCAAAAAGGCATTTTTGTGAGCTGTTCGGCTGGTAACTTTGGTCCGTTCAATTTCTCATTATCGAATGAGGCCCCATGGGTTCTCACCGTTGGTGCAAGCACTATTGATCGAAGCATAAGGGCCACTGCATTACTAGGAAACACTGAAGAATTTGATGGCGAGTCAGTTTTCCAGCCTAAAGATTTCCCTCCGACGTTGTTGCCTCTTGTTTACCCACAGTCAAACGGAACTGAAGATTATGCTCCATTCTGTGCCACGGGATCATTGAACAACACCGACGTCAAAGGGAAGGTGGTGTTGTGTGATGCTGGTGGTCCGGTAACAAGAGTAGACAAAGGACAAACTGTAAAGGATGCTGGTGGAGCTGCCATGATTTTGATGAACCAAGACTACAGGGCCTACACTACCTTTGCTGATGTTCACGTCCTTCCTGCAACACATGTGAGTTATGCTGATGGATTAAAGATCAAGGCCTATATAAATTCAACATCAAGGCCAATGGCTACAATCTTATTCAAAGGAACCATAATTGGGGCTAATCACGCTCCTATGGTTGCTGCTTTCTCTTCCAGGGGCCCTAATGGAGCAAGCCTAGGAATTTTGAAACCTGACATTATTGGTCCTGGTGTGAATATTCTTGCTGCATGGCCTTTCTCTGTGGAAAACAAAACCGATACAAAATCGACATTTAACATAGTCTCAGGTACCTCAATGTCATGTCCTCATCTTAGTGGCATCGCAGCTTTGCTTAAAGCTGCACACCCTAATTGGTCTCCGGCTGCCATCAAGTCCGCTATCATGACTACTGCTGATCAATTGAACCTCGACAACAAGCCCATCATCAATGAAAGGCTACTCCCAGCTGATATCTTTGCCATTGGAGCAGGCCATGTCAACCCATCAAAAGCAAATGATCCGGGACTTGTTTACGATATTCAGCCTGACGATTACATATCTTACTTATGCGGTTTGAATTACACACGCCGACAACTTATAGTCATTGTGCAACGGCCGGTGAATTGCTCAAAAGAATCAACTATTCCTGAAGCACAACTAAACTACCCTTCATTTTCAATCATAATGGGGTCGACTGACCAAACATATACCAGGACAGTAACTAATGTTGGTGAAGCTATTTCATCGTACACTGTCGAGATTTTTCCACCACAAGGAGTCGATGTTAGTGTTAAGCCTACTAGGTTGGACTTCTCAGATGTGAACCAACAGATGACATATCAAGTCACATTTAGCAGATCGACTGGTGGCATGAATGCCATCTCTGCACAAGGATTCCTGAAATGGACTTCTACCAAACATGTTGTTAGAAGTCCAATCGCTATTCTGTTCGAGTGAGGAAGAGGTGTTGCAGTTCATGTACACTTCAAGCATATCAACTCTATGTTTCTGAATCTTGCAATTTGCTTGTTTGGACACAAGATTATATGAAATATTAAATAAATCTGACATCTTATATGAAAAACCTGTGATATATATATATATATATATATATATATATATATATATTACAGTTAAGAAGTTGAATTCTCAATTTATAAAACTACAACGTTTTTTTTTTCGCACAGAAACATCAACTCAGCTAGCACACTCTTCAATGTCAGACAATCTCACTTATCCACAACTAGCTCTCTCTTCTCTCACACCTTCCTCTCTCCTAATTTATCTCTATTCACTTTAATTTTAAATTACATAATTTTTAAAAAATAAATATCATACGATCAATGATGAATTTTTGGAATTACAGAGTGTTTTCAGGAACAAGGTTGTTGCTAATATACTATGAAGCACAGACACGTGGTTTTAGATGACGTATCCATGTTCAACAGGTCTAGAACACGGACACGTGCCATCACGTCCTGAACTCGTGTCGGACATGCCCAAAAGAGTGTCCAAATTTTATTTGATTTTAAGACTTGCGCAAACACATCCAAATACGTTTCTTCTGGCTATAGTTACCATGTAGGGTTGTTAGCAAATGGGAAGAAGACAAATAGAGACCCTTGTCATCAAAGAAGATGGAGTGCAATCGCCCATGCTTGTATGAATTGGCGAACTTCCTAGAAATTTGGCGAGATATTTTTGGAAGGAAGCCAGTCATCCAGTTTTGTTTTAGCCAGATGATCTAAAGCGGAAGAAGTTTGGAAAGGAAAAAGATTTTTGAGAAACACAGAGATACAACAGAGTAATAGAAACTTACCAAAAAAAACAGTTACAGAAATTGTAGATGTGGGAGGTGAGAGAGAGAGAGAGACAGATAAATGTGAATTGACAACGGTGTAGAGTTACAAATTGAGACAAGAGGAGGTCTCTCCTTGAGTTATCAGTTTCGTGGTAGTTGCATGTTACTTGGTCAAATTTTTCCAATTCATTTATTTGACAAGTAGAATATTGAAATTTAAAAAAATACCTCATCTCAAAATTTTTAATCCCAAGCACCACATAGGTCAATATAGCACAGATACTTAGCAAAAAAAAAAAAAAAAGAAAGAAAGAAAAGTTCACATGGGTCAATATAGCACAGATACTTCTTTTTGTTTTTTTCGCTAAGTAAGAACACATATACTTGAAGATTTTTCACCCCCCACCAGACGAGAAAACAGCCAGACCAAAACAAAATTAAACAAGGCTCGTTCAGCTTTTTGCTGTTCATTTAGCAATGAAATATTCACTTTATTAGTATTGTTTATTTTGATTTAGGGGCAAAATCCAGTTTACCCCCTTGTGGTTTGGTTGTTTTGCACATCACCTCCTTGTGGTTCAAAAATCAATACATAATCCCCTTTATGTTTTTGGACTAAAGTGCGACCATTACTATTTTTGTCAAAAGTGACAGAAATTATAACACGCGCTAGATTTGTGAGTATGGATGTAAAAAATTTAAGTTAGAGTCAAAACTCAATCTAAAAGTCCAAATATATCCATGTGATCTTTCAAAAAGACATTTTCTATCTTCTATATTTACTATTAGAGCAAAAAATAAGATAAAAGAAAAAACGAAACCCCATCCTTCTCTCTCTCTTTCTCGTCGAAAAAAACCAGCTCCTTTGCATTGCCACTCGATAACCCACCCACCTTTTTCCCATCACCAATGGCCAAAACCCTCACCCTTTGGTGACCCAACCCCTCTACCTTTCCAATAATGAAGTGGGTCGCAACGAAAAAGAAATTCTCTGTACAATGATTTGTAGTGACAAAAAAATTCAGCAAAGAAAAAATATAGAAGAAGAAGAAGACCAGATCACAGCGAAAAAGACAACGAAGTAAGGATCAGTTTGGCGAACCCAAACAGTAGCGACGAAGAGGGTGAAGCGATTTAGTTATGCATCGAAAATTTTGAAATAAGAAATCGAAATCAAAATTGATTTAAACTTCTACTTTCCGTTTTAATTTCAATTTCTATTTCGAGATTAGTTTGCAATTACAAATAGTAAATACGATCATCAGATCCTCTATTTTTTACAATCCTTAATTCAACACTGTCTCACACAATTTTTGTGATGGAGGAAGATTTCTGGTTGTTGACGGAGGTAAAACTTGAGCATTGGATGAAGGTAATTGATGTGGCTATGCATGGTGACCGTTTACCTCCAGTGAATTTGTCTCCTCTGTTTTTTTTTTTTTAAATGCCGTTCATTTTCTATGAATTTTTCGCTTATGTTTTTTTCTACTGATTTTTTGAAAATCTCTGATAAAAAGTCACTAAATTTTTGGAAATTTGTCTTGTGGATTCTATATTGGATTCTTGGGTTAATTTCGATTTCTAGTAAAAATTGGCTTGAGATGTTGGGAAACAAAAATTGAGATTGTTGTGACTCCTACTTGTTCTCTGAAGCTTACTATCGTGGCATAGATGTTGACAATCTTGAGGAGAAAATTGTTAATTGATGTGAACTACTGATTGTCATGGGTATCAATTGTGTCGTGTTCGTGTGAATCATATGTTGTGTTATTCGTGTTATATCGTATCATTATTATTCGTGTCGTGTTTGTGTCAAGACCCACAAAAAAAAATTTAGTATGTTCTAAGTATTAAATATTAGTTTAGACTATTTATTATGCGTATTTAATAATCGTGTCAATTTTATAATCGTTCATGTTAGGTTCGTATCAACGGATCGGAGTTGATAACTCTAATCATGTGTTATGGTGGATTTTGTGAGTAGTTGTGATTTAGTGGTGATGACCAATGACTAGTGATTCAGTGGTAGTGCACGGTAGGTGAAGATGCAGTGAGGTTAGAAAAGATGTGTGATAAAGTTTATTCAGATTTTAAGGAGGGCAAGGTGGTCTTTTTGCACATGTCCACCCTCAATTTTTTTTTGTTTTAGATATTAGACACATATTTTTGAAAATAAAATTTAGACATATTTAATTGTGCCAATCCCTCAATTTTTTTTTTTAAGATTTGATAAATATTTTTTAAAATAAAATTTAGACATATATAATTATATCTACCTTATTGTTGTGTTATTGTGACATCGATTAAGATAGACCATTACCTAAATAATAATTAATTTTAAATAATGTTATTGAGACCTAATACATAGCAATATTAAATCTAATAGTGAATTCTTACATTTAATAACGTCTACTATCCATCAAATGGTCATAAGTCATTGGGTTCTTACCATTTAAATTTAAATTTTTTTTGGGTCAAGATATAAAATTAAATTTCAAATTAGATGCAACTACTATTATTCTTAAATTTTTAGACACATTTCAGACATGTCCGAATAATTTTTAAACATATCGCAATCATTTTTCTAAATTATAAGATTATTTTGTTATTGTATAAAAATGAGCGTCATTACGATATAAATTACAAGGTAATAAAAAATCAGATTATTCGTATCATCATATACAAACACAATTCAATTATCACTTTAATAATTAATTATATTAATTTTAATTTCATATCATGTTATGTTCTTAACAAGTTAAGCGTATTATGTCAGAAAGTTATCATACCTAATCAGACCCAAAAAAAATAAAATCAAAGCGATCATTGTGAAATTAAAAAAAAAAATGAAAGCCAATTGATAAAGACAGAACAATCAAGACAAATTAAAAGCTTGAGGGTGGAAGTCTTGTGCCCTAGGATAATCCGAGGGTGCTGAGACAGCTTTAATCTATACTACTAATAAAATGAAACAAAGTGAATTTTTTTAATTACCTATTATGTCCCTATAAAAAATATTAAAGGCACTTATATCCTTATTTATTTAATCACCCAATATTAATTATCTATCTATACTATTCCTAAAAGGCAACAACTCTGAAAAACTTTTATTTTTCATTTTTTTCCTTAAAAACACAATAATCTCATTTTAATCCGTGCAAGTTAATTGATAGACGCCCTCCAACTATCCTCTCTTTTAGTTATACTCCATTGCACGTTATTTAGGGGTGCAACTAAGGCGGGTTGGGTGGATTGAACAGTCCAATCCTAGGTATATAATCTTCAATCCTAACCCTACCTCGGGTTGAAGAATTCAACCCGAACACTGCCCGAGTTTAATTCGGGTGGGCTCGGATTGAATTCGGGTTAATGATTTCGAGTTACTTTACGGGTTCAATTCGGGTTGAGTTCGGGTAAAGCTCAAAATAAACTTGTTGTTCTAAACCTAATACATATATTACATAATATTCACCTAAATTAACAATCAATAATTTCAACCAAGTTTTTAACAGTGCTAATGCTAGGCCAAAAATGAAAATGAATGAGAGAGACAGAGAACGATAGAACAAAAATGAAAAATCAGTGCTAATACTATATATATAATTTTTTTTTTTAATTTGTCGGGTTCGAGTTGAACCTGTGAATCTGATGCCTTAGCCTGCGCCAAACCCAAATTGAAAAGCTATGGTGAGAGTCTTGGGATCACATCCAATGAGAAGAATTAGGTATGTTTGATTGTCATTCTGATTAGGAATAGTAATTTGATCATTTATGTTTTGGCAAGTGCATTCTTCTTTGTTTCTGGCATTTGATTTCCATTATTTGGTGTTAATTCGAATGGTCCTGGGCCTATTTTGTTAATGGTTTTGTGTTCTCCTTTTCTCTCTCCCTCTTTCACTCTATTCATTGCTCCAATAGAATGTTAAGCTAGGTGAGATTGCACCCCCCCCCCCTCTCTCTCTCTCTCTCTCTCTCTCATTTTTGTTTTATTTTGATATGGTGCAGGAGAAAAACACAGGTTATTTGGGATGGAGGAGCTTTGATTTCATAATTTTTTCCTCCCTTTGAGGGTAAAGGTCTTTTTAGATTAAAAATCTTGTAAATGAGATCAATTTACTGAATGTTTTGTCTCCACCAATTTTCTTTGACACGATAA